GGGGTAAAAGGTTAAACTGGATCTGAAGAGTTCCTGATTGAAACGGGTGAAAGGGGCAAAACTCCTGGAGTTGGCGCACACAGAAGCCAGCTTTCTCTCAACACTCTCTCTCTCCCTCTCTCTCATGGCCCAGAGGGACCCCCCCCACTCGGTTGTAACCCTATAGCCCACAGAGACATTCCCCCTGATGAGAGATGGCCAGGTCCCGCGTCAGGAAACAGTGGCATGGTCGGATGTCACCCCGGCTCTGGAACAATGTGGAGCAGAGCAGCCGGAGGAAGTGGGCCTGGGATAAGTCCCTTCAACTTAAATCTGCTTCTAAACGGACAAACGGAGCGTTAACCATGCAGGTTCAAGAAAGAAAAGTCTTTCTTTGACGTGTCTCTTAAAGGGATTTAGCTTTTGGACATCCTCTCATGTTTATATCTTGTGTCAAAGATCTAGTCTCTATGTTGAGTGTTCTTTGTTTGTATTTAGTATGTTTTTCTGTGTGTTAGTAAAACTGCTTTCAGACAGATATTTTCCTGAAAATGTCCAAGAGGGTCTGTATGTGTGAACCTATCTGTGCGACTGAGATCCTCCTGACAATCTGAGCACTTTCTTTGGCTGAACAAAAAAAAACTGGAGAATCTCCGCAGTTTCCAAAATGTGAGAGATCCAAAGAAAACACACATTTCTGTGTCAGTTGCTCCAGACTTTCTCCGGGTTTTCTCATGCAAGTCCCCGTGTAAAAACTCTGGAAAGGTTTGGAGTGAGCCCGTGTTAGAATACAGCAGGATGTTGTGAGGAGAATCCAGAGCGAACGAGTGGACGTGTCAATGACGTTTCTAACATGTGACGGAAGCAAAATTGAAAAAAAGAAAACAAATATCTCAGGATGAAAATGAAGAGCAATAGAAGACGCAGAAGAAGATATTAACTTGGAAAGACGACAAGATTTAAGAGCTTTTGGTGATAAGTGCTGATGCTGGTGTTATTTGTCGCTTCTTATATTTTATATTTGAGACTTCTGCACTGCTGCCCAACTTGACCAGGACTTCCTGGCAAATGGAAAACTGCATCTCAATGGGACTTTCATGGTTAAATAAAACATTTAATTGAGTTATTTGACTTTCACACCAGGACCTTGAGTGTGAGTTTGATTTGTTAATTCACTGTAAATATGAAAGAAGGTTGATTTTGCAATAAAATAAAATCTGAGTATACAGCAAAAGGCTGCAATACATTTATCAACTTGTTTTTTTTAAAGGATCACACTGTGATAATGTTTTGTTTGATACCTTCGGCCTGTATTAAAATCCATTACTAGTGTTTCTGTCTATATTAATCAAGAAAATTAAATACGTCTACAAAGTCATTTTTGTCCGAATATAAATTATAAACTGACAAAATACGTGTTATTTTGCCTGAATTAGATCAAATATACAGCTTCTGTTTCCGAGACATGGTGTTCTTCATACATTATTCAAAAAGGATTATCCTGCATTTTGACCCAGTTTTAACAAAGACATCACACAAAAATACAAATTAAAATATATACTATAAATAAAAAATATTTTGCATGATGATTCTTGCACAAACTGTACAAAAAGCAGAATAATTAGAAATCCTCTGAAGCTTCTTACAAAAAATACGTATTGGTTCGCAACAGGATAAATCTGATGAAAGCTAATTAGAAATTTTAAATGTAGTGGTAATTACAGAGCTGCTTCTCTCGTATGCAGAGCTAATTAACGCTCATTAACACCTCAACCCAGCCCTACTTATTCACTTACATGCACACAAACATCGCTGTCTGGTAATTTACATGATCCTCTCCTCCACGTCTGTTTCTCTCCAAACGGCGCTCGCACACATTGAAAGCACAGACTGTAGCTTAAATACATGTGTGAGTGCATCTGTTGCACAGAGCTGTCTCATTCTGTGTTGTACTGAACTGCCACTAACTCTGGAATTGTTTCCAAACCAGGTCAGACCATTAAAATGTGTTAACCCTCGAGGAGAAGTACAAGTAACAATAAAAAACTTCCAGTAGTGAAAAAGATGTCATGGCCTGTAGCAGAGCTGAGCTGCTGTGGACATTTATTTTACCTAAGCTGCTTTATAACAAGCACAGGACTCTGGATATTCTTCTGAAATTATCCGTAGGGGCTGAATGCCAGATCACAAATGTCAGAGTCAGTTGCTACAGACATTCTCCAGAGTTTTTTCTGCTGGCCTCTGAGTAAAAGCTGCAAGAATGCCTGAATGAGCCCGTGTGAGAACACAGCAGGAACAAGAAAATTCACAACTTTTCTGACACGAGATGGACGCAGAAGTGAAAAAGCAAAAAGAATACAAATGTCTCAGGATGAAAATAGAAGATGCTGACGAAGACATCAACTTGGAAAGACAACAACATTCAAGAGCTTTTGGTGATAAGGTCCGATATGTCACGTCCTGCCTCCTACGTGCTGCAGACGTTCTTCATATGTGAAAGGCAAAGTCAGGAGAGAGTCCAGACCTCACTGTCCAGACATGTTATGACAGACGTGCAACTGCTGTCATCCATCAACTGAGAGGAGGAAACCCAAACACACACATACACTCACACACACAAGTTTACGTAGCTATCCTTGTTAGGCATTAACTTCCATTCACTCTGAACAGCCTTGCCAAAACCTTATCCCTAATTCATGACCAAGTCATACCTAACCTTAACCTAACCACAGTCTTACTGTTAAGTATAACCAAGGCCTTAGAAATGATTCGTCTCATTAGGAGAAGGCTTTGGTCCCCATCAGGTTTCCTGACAAGAACTGTGCAGGGTCTAAAGAGATAACAAAACCTTAACCATCACAACTAAATGTATAACTCTAACCTAAACCTGATTCTAACCCAAAAATCTTCACCCTCAAACAACCCTTTGAAAAAGTGAGGACCAGCCGGAAATATCCTCACTCTGTAAGGTCTGTGCTAAAAATGGTCCTCACAAATATACAAGGTCCAGTACATGGACAGAGACAGCCTGGGTTACTCAGAGCCACATGCTCCCTGACCAGTGACAGGGTGAAGAGGAGGAATCTGCTGGAGTTCATGTGACATTAACAGCAAACAAGAGGACAATTGCTATTTATTACACCAGCTTAAATTTATCAACACCACAAACGTCAGAATCTAATGACTCTTTTTGAAAGATAGCAAATGTCTAAATATTTGCCAAAGAAACTAAACAGCTTCACCTTCAACATTTGGCTTCAGCTTTCGGGGAAACTCATGTGACGACGTGCTCCTGGAACTGTGGAGTGTAATTACAACATAATTACATCCAGATTGATAATTAATAGTTCAGATGTGCCTGCACGAAACAATATCAACTGAAGCTCTAATTTCTGCAGACACAGGAAGTGTTTTGTCTTTGGGGTTCAGGGGTAAAAGAAACAAACCAACCTGGAACAAGATCGGTAGCCAGTGGAGTTTATACCGCCTCGGCCCAACGGTCCTCATCAAATTTAACACACCCATAGATCAGTGGTTCCCGAAATTCGAGTAAATCTGTTCAATAGTTCTGGAGAAATCTTGCTTGAAACAAACCAACATACAAACCAACAAACTCATGGGTGAAAACATAATTTCCTTGGCAGAGATAAAAATCAGGAGGATATAAAAACACACAAAAGAAAGAGGCTTCAGACAAATGTGCACTTCCATTATCTGTTCTTAATATTTCACACACTCAGTATCTGGGATTTTTGTTCTGCTCCTATTGTCAAATTTTTTGAAGAAACCAAATTGAGCCAAGAGCAGCTCAAAACATCACACGTTCAGAAACCGGATTAATATTTGAGTCACAATCCCACCAGCAAAACCACTGCGATGAATCAAACACGTTCAAGTTTCTAAACAGCTTCTGATCCTGTGATGATGCAACAGACACATCCGAATCTGTGCGTGTGCTGCCCTCTAGTGGTTAAAACCAGATAATCTCCTTTCAGTATCAGCGACACAGTTCTACAATCAGAACAACAATAATTTATTATTGACCTAAATGAGCAGAGTCTGATGAAGAAAATTATTTAAAAATAATAATGAAAATGTGTGGGAGTGACCAATGCTCTGAATCTTATATCAACCTTGGTCTCAGTCAATAAGCACATGAGCTGGAATATGATTTTATAGAAATGACACTATATTAAACATACTCAATTTGCAAGTTATAATATTAATTCATTCATTCACAATTATCAAAGGGACTATTTATGAAATAAATATAGAATTATATATAAAACCGTAATGGAATTACAGCTAGAAGAGAATAATCTTATATTTATCTCGATGATAGACTCTATAGCTTCTGCTTTCATTCCTTTTGGAATGACTATATAAAGATTGACGACATGACTGCTGACGCAAAAGTGTCTCCACCTGGTGGCTGGCTGCAATATAGGTCATAAACTCAGACTCCATGTTAACAGACAGGACATGGATCACAGATAAATAAAGTGATTTTTCTTTTTTTTTTAAATACAGCTTCTGTCACTGTAGTTAGTTCTTACTACACTGTTCAATTTTTTGTTTCTATTAAAACAGGATGAAACCTGACAGCTGAGAATGAATCGCGACGGTGTATTAGTAGGACCATGATTCTGAAGCTCCATCCTTCAATCACAACTGTACAGACTCTGGCTCTAAATATATATATATATATACGGGAGGAAGTGGAGGTGCCCTGTCCATCTTCACATACAGTCCATGGTCTGAATGCATATTTGTGCATGATAAATTATATTATCTAACCTGTGGTATCAGCATTAGCGCTATCATCTGTTTTTCTTTACACACAAAACTGCTCCTATCAAGTGGAACTCACAATCTCCATGAGTCACAAACAAACTGCATTTTTACACAAAGCAATAAACAATCACAGAAGCACTCACAGAAGTTTCCAGGCGGCTGTAGGCTGTGCTTTGTCAGAGAACACCAGCCGACGGGGAAGATGTCTCTGGAGTCGAAGGGGCACCAGTAGTCGAAGGCGCCTCGCCAGCCGTCAAACATGACGAAAATCTCCTGACCTCTGACCTCCCCCACTGTGGCAGGACAAATCAGGTAGGGGTTCTTCCTGTCCACCGCCTCCAGCTTCATACCAGGCTGGAAGTAGTTTTTAACAGGGCTGGCTGGATCCTGCACACACAAATATATGTGTTCGTATAAACACGCAAATACATAAAGTATGTTCACAGCATCTCTGTGAGATAATTAGCAGTGCAAAAGAACATTTGAAACCATTAATATTTAATTCATTTTATGCTTTTTTTGCAGTATTAAATGTATTTAATTGCACAGTGTCTTAACAATATATTGTGATTCTTGAGTGGCCCCCCCTGTGTGTCTGTGCCAGTTACTGCAGTAATTACAGAAAAAACATTTAAAGTTTTTTTGTGTTTTTGACGTTAATTTAAAAAAATCGTATTTATTGATTAGATTTTGTTGAATGATTTGCTTTTCTAATTTATTCTTCATTAAATAATGGATCCTTGGAATAGAAATGTTTTGTTTTTCAAAGAACCTGATTTTTGCGAAACACAACTTCATGACATTGTTCAATTTTTTTTCAGGATCAAAACAAAAATATATTGGCCTTGGTTGTTACCTTCTTAAAAGCAGAGGCAGGGGCCATCTCTGCTCCGCTCAGCGTCCGCAGCAGAAACATTGGCCACGAGGAGGCGTTCATCCTGAAACCTGTGTCAAAACAGCTCTGTTCAAACTGAGGTACCTTCTCTTTCATATTTCTGTGAGTTATTTCACTGTGGCCAAATAAAATCTATTTCAGTGTGTTAATACTGGATTTCTGTAACAGTAGAGGTTTCACAGATCCATAAATTCCAACTTGTTTCTCCTCATTTCCATCATTCTTTTCACTTCTTTTTCACTCTCCCTGCATCTTCTAATCAGCTGACTGCTGCTGCAGTTTACAATCATCCAATCAGATGTTGCCATGATCTCAATAAGCCAATCGTGTCATTAATGCCAAACTGAATGAAAAAAATAAATACATAAATAAAATAAAATTTAACTTTGAATCTGTTCTCCTCTCTGTCGTCTGTCCCCTCCCCCCCAAGTCGCCTCCAGGCCCAACAACCAATGTCCCGGTCAATCAACAAAAAAGCCCAAACTGAAACAATGGCATGTCAATACACTGATCCTCACCCAGCGGGGGCTGCAGCATGTCTCCGTTCCTCTCGCAGGTTCCTATTGGTTGGATGTCTGAGGAGTCGATCAGCCGCCAGAAGTCATTGGTGTTGTCGCTGCCATCAAGCCGCAGACGTAGACGAGTACCCATCATGCCCATCACCGTCGCGATGCACACCGAGTTAGAGTTGCGAGGGTCCCGCGCCTCGAGTTTCATACCTGCTTTGAAGTCGTTGGAGGGGGGGAGTCTGGACTGCACAGGAACAAAAGAGACCCTCAGGTGAGATGACGACTCATCAGTGAGCGCAATGAGTCTTCAAATTCATTAACAGTTAATAAAGGAAGAGGTTGTCAGTTTTCTTCAGCTCTGTTATTCTCAACAGGTCCCACATAAACCAAACAATTGTGTGTCTGTGGTCCTGAGCCCATTTGTTCAGCCTGCAAAAATTAAATCTTTAAAAATGACCCAAACAACAACTATTCAGTAAAAGTAAAGTAAGATAGTTTTCAGGTGTTTGCCTGGTACGTCTGTAGGTGCAACATGATCGGTCACTGATGTGTTTTAATGTTTTTTGGACAATAATGGAGCTGAGTGATGAAGAGAAATAAAAATGTTTTATCATTTATTGTTGGTCTTTGCTGACAAGTAACAAAACATAGAATATCACCAAACTTCCACTGCATGTCCACGACAGACTGTATTTAACAAAACAGAATAAAGAAACGGTACGAGAAATGAATTAAACAGAACGTTACAGATCAGCTACCTGTTTGAAGCATGTAGGTGAAGCTGCAACGGAGGATGTTTGTCTCAGATAATCTTCCCAGCTGAACGGTTCTGGCAAATAAACAACAGAAACAAACCACAGATTAGAGAAAGAAAGTGTGAAAGAAAGAACAGCAGTGATCAGAATGGACTGACCTAAACAAATCGGAGCTTTTCACTAGAAAACTATCAGGCTTGAGAAACACTTTTATTTATACAACTTAAGTGAATCAATATAGTGATCGCAAATAAATTCCTACCTCTGCCAATGAGCTTATGTTTTCAGCCTAATGAGTTTGTTAGTTTTTCAACAGGAATATTAATAAAAAAAACATTGCAATTTGGTGCAGCTTGATTGAATTCAAGGGGACTGTTGGGGGCCAGTTTGGATGTAAAATAAATTGCTGAGAGGAAAATGACAATTTGATGCTTGTTTATGCGGCAGTTGCAAAAACTGGAGGTTTATAAGAAACGAATAAACATTCGTAAAAGAGTTTGTGAAAGCTTGTGTAAACCCATCCCAGAGTTTACTTTCACAGCCCACTGATCACTGCTGATGCAAGTACTGACACAAAACTGGGTGAATAAAAAAACCCTATTAACTTAAAAAGTTCTGAATCATTAATAAAAGGATGAGCAATGAAAAGAAATAAGCCAGAAATGAAAACTGCCAACCGTTAGATTTGTCGAGGGCAGAGCCTGCTGTGATGCTGCTCCTCCTCTCCTTCTTCTCCTCTTTTTGATCTGAAATCAAAACCGTGATTGAAGCGCTCATCAGAGTTTGGGAGTTTCAGACATGCAGACTTTAATTACTGTGAGAATGAAGCCATTAAACCAGCGACTGTAACAGTTCTGAGTCAAAGAAAAATTAACGTCCAGCATACCAAACAGCAAAAACTCAAATTACATGCTAGGGAAACACCAGGGAGCTTTTTTTGTGTGAAGCCTGTTAATATGAGAAACTAGTCGTAAGTGCAACAGGACGACCGGCAGCTTTGTGGAGACCTACCTCTGTGTGGAGTTCGGCCCATGACGACCAGAGTCAAACGAGCTGCTGCAGAGGAGGTGAAGTCAGACTGACTGCAACAGAGACAGATAAAAAAAAACTTTATCCAGAATATTCACAAAATGCCAGGATGCACTGCTCTAATGTAGCCTGCTGTGCACACTGAATATCCTGGGGAATTACTTTTTCTATT